GAACTTCTTCCTGATATCCAATCTAAACCTCCCCACTTTCAATTTAACCCCGTTACCCCTTGTCCTGTCACTACAGGCCCTTGTAAAAAGTCCCCCTCAGCTTCCTTGTAGCCCCTTCAGGCACTGGAAGGTGCTATAAGGTCTCCCCGGAGCCTTCTCTTCTCCAGGCTGAACAAGCCCAACTCTCTCAGCCTGTCCCCATGGCAGAAGCGCTCCATCCTGTTAATCATTTAATAGATTTAACCTAATATGAAGTACCCCATCTCGCACACCACTGTCAAACCATCCATACAAGGAGTAATAAATGGAAGCAGTTGTAGGTTAGGTGCACACCCTTCAAATCAACTGCTTTATGAAGATGAGCCTCTTGCTAATAAAAGGTTAGATCATAATGCCTTCCTAACTTCTACAGTAAACAGCAGAAATATAGATACGTTTATCTTCTTTTAATCAACACGCTGTCACAGAATCATCACTCTGCTTAGAAATTACTTTTCTATTTATAAGCTGTTTCCTCAAATTTTACATTTGTCTTCATGACAGTCTAAACTTTGTCATGGTGAATTAAAAAGCAAGATTTAGACTGTTCTTCTGGAAACAGTTTCAGAGTCAAATCTCCCAATAAGCCTTCAGCACCACACACAGACACTGCAACTGTTAGACAAGAGGCAAGTAGATCCTCCTGGAAACAAAACAGATAACACCCTTTACCTAGCATGAATGAGAGGCACGTTTATTATAGGGTCTCCGTCAAGTGGTAATCCTTCCTGCACCTGTAGCTCTGCGGCATGCCTTTCCAGGTCCTTTGTTAACACCTAGTCAGAAGAGAAAGGCAGACAGCAATGTAGTATCCATGCAACGTGGATTTGATTTGCTATTGAATTTGATTATCGTCCCTTATGGTCAGATCCACTGCTGAAATCCGAAAAGCCCTCTGCCATCCAGTGACCTCTATTAAACAGCGTCTTTCTGCTTCTGAACAATTCCAAGCCTCATTTTTAAAGGAGTTTTAAAATAAACCCATAATCTTTAATGCTGGCCAATGTGTGGTATTTTGCCTAAAGCGTGGGAGACCTTGGCTGGTCCGAGGGATTGGAATACAAGCTTAACATTGACCTTGAGCAGGTAACCGTGTACCCTTAAGGAGTCAGGAATGTCCTGAGAAGAGCTGAGTAAATTAGAGCAAGGAACTGCCTCCGCAAGTAGAAGAATTTTGTCGAAGACGTAAAAAAGAAGAGGTCATCCAATCATGAACTGTGGGTCTGTGAGTGAACCAATCATGTATGGACACACATTAAGAAAGATATAAAGATAGGGCTTGTGTAAACAATATAGTAGTCTTTTTGGCCTTTGTGCACAATTCTTTGTATGTTGTGTCCGTCTCAACAACAACACTAAAGCACTAACACCTGAGAACTTGCCTGTCAACAAGTAGTGGGATGCCACTCAGAGACCCTGAATAGTTCCAGGGGTTCCTGAGCCTGCTCACCATTCACCCTCCAGCTGCATGAGGTGGGACACAGCGCATGTAGCTCACGTGTCAGAACTGCATTTCGGTTTTGCCAATTACTTTGATAATGAATAGGCAAAACGCACCAAGACCAAAGCATTTTCAAGAGAACATTTTGTAGGCCATACAGAAATGGTAGAGAGATGGAAAGGTTAGTTTTGAATAAACAACACACTTCCGTAAGACATAAAAACATAAGAGATTTAGGTTCTATAACGTAACTGACTGAAGTCCCACTGATTCTTCTTTATGGAAAGGTTAGTTTTGAATAAACAGCACACTTCCATAAGACAGGAAAACATAAGAGATTCGGGTTCTATAATGTAACTGACTGAACTCCCACTGATTCTTCGTCGTTGTGAAGGTTATGGTTGTATATATCAGTAAGTCATAATTACCTGATGAATTGCCAGACCCATACATTGCAGTATTTTCTGAGGCATATCCCTTAATTCAGTAGATATATCTTGTATTGATTTAGTTAGTTCTCTGTCTTGTATCATTTCCTTATAATCCACAAGGATGCTTCCTTTTCTTTCTATTTCATCCTGTGAAATATTTTAAGCTATAAATTACACTTCAAATTACAAACACAACACATCCAAATTGTGTCACAAACATTTCACATCTGTGATGGAGATTATTCTTGAAGGCAACAACACACAAAGTTTGTCATATTATTGGTCACAAACATTTCACATCTGTGATGGAGATTATTATTGTTTATCAACAATAGGTTGGGGGAGGAGGTAGCAGGTTTCTTTTACCTTATCATAAAGGTCAATGCGTTTCACGAAAAACTCTTCAAAAGCTCGAGTCTTCTGGACAAAAGGGGACTTGTCCATATAAGCTAATTAGAAACACATTGCATTAGTAACTGACAATTAATTCCGTTTCACATCTGTGATGGAGATTATTATTGTTTATCAACAATAGGTTGGGGGAGGAGGTAGCAGGTTTCTTTTACCTTATCATAAAGGTCAATGCGTTTCACGAAAAACTCTTCAAAAGCTCGAGTCTTCTGGACAAAAGGGGACTTGTCCATATAAGCTAATTAGAAACACATTGCATTAGTAACTGACAATTAATTCCGTTTCACACAATAACATAAACTGGCAGTTTTCCTTGCATTACCTTCCTGCATTCCAAAACTGAGGAAGATGATAAACTTAACACTATCATAGTCATGTTTTAAGACCCATTATAAAAACAGAACTTTGTCTAAGATGACACAGGACAAGCACATGGGATCAAGGAAAGTACAGCAAAGGTATGTATGTGCCAGCTTTTGACAGACTACAAGTTTTATCGATCAGATTTAAGATTGCATTTTACACTGTTCAAAATTCCTTTCCAAGGACCAGAGCCCACAGAGATTACAGAATGCCACAAGACCAAAACCTGTACCATATTCATGTTTTTATATAACAAATATGAATTTCAGTTGCTTTCTGTTGGACTTATACCCTCTATTTACATCCAGCTTTAGAGAAAATGAACACTCGCTACATATAATTTTGGTCTCAAAATACCTTCAGAGAAATAAAGTTTCCAGCCCTTATAGGGAATAAACTGGTCCAATGTTGACTGAACTAGTTGAGATCTTACTGAAAGAGGAAGAAAAAAAAAAAATTAAAACAGGGGTTTAAAACAATGTGGATACTAAAGCGTTGCAAGTTTTATTCCCAGTGATTCTTCTGACCACCGGGAGGCTGCAAATAGGATTTGGCTTCAGAAAACAAGGAGAAACACAGGGGCCAACTCACGAGGTTCAGACATCCTTCTCCACTCGCTCTTCTGTCCTCTGCCTCGCCATCCACCTCGCCATCCGCCCCGCCATCCCTGAAAGCTCCTTCCCCGGCCGTATCCTTTGCCTCTGAGGTCCCTACTCATCTCGCCCCGCAGGTGTCAGCTTGGGGAGGCGACAGCAAACTGAGGTAAAGAGACAGAAAGCTTGAACTGAATCTCTTCAGGTTAAATCAGAGTTACGTGCCAGGGGACTTGGCCTGTGGGGCTG